GCATGGGTTATCAAATGAGCTCTGAAGAGATGTCAAACTATCGAAATGTCCTAAAGTTCCTCTAAAACATCTTCAATGATGACTCTAAGCATCTGAAAGACCTTTAACAGCGTATCAACAATAGGAACCTAAAGAACTTAAGTTTGCTGCTCTTCCCAGGTCCCCCAAACAATGTTTAGAAGTTCCAGACTGATTACCAGGATTACCAGGGTGTCCTTGGATGGCTCCCAAGAACTTAAGGAGGACCTCTAAAAAAACCCTCTAAAATAAATTTCCCTGTAACCAATGAAAGCTTTTAGAGACCATATTGTGGTGGCTTGACAGGTTGTTAAACATCTAGTAAGATATTTCTTTGTAGGACGGATCATTTCACAGATGATTTGACATGTTTAACCATTTCGAAGTCCTAAAAGAATAAAGGTCCTAAAGACAAAGGTATCTTAAAAGAGCCTAGAAATATTTTAACTCCCTAAAAAGAACCTGGAGAACTTAGGCTACGTTCACACTGCAGGCAAAAGCGCATCAAATCCGATTTTTTTGACCCTATGTGACCCATATCCGATCATGGTGTGACAGTATGAACGGCGCAAATCCGATATTTTCAGATCCGATCTGGGTCACTTTCGTATGTGGTACTGAATCCGATACGTATCCGATGTTTTAGAAAGCTGCTGTTTGATGGTCAGGTCGCATTAAATCCGTCTTTTACGTCACCGACACAAGACAGACGCCATTATCAGCGCCGGAGAAGACATCGCGAACGCTTCCTGGACATCCAGTGAAACTGATGGGAAGACAACGTTGGAGAAACGTGAACATTTTATTTGTACTGTATAATCTGCAGATTCTGACAGAAATCTGCAACTATCCTTTGAAGCACCGCTCCTCTAAAACAGCAATAAGGATCATTATTAGGTTATTTACATTATTATGTAAATAACAAAATAACTTAAAGCAAAAATTGGGAAACGTAAAGTCTGAAGTCTTTATATTAAGGGTCATCAGTCAAACAATACTGTTGCTCTGGGTCTAAACAGAGCGCGTTGTGTGTGACGTCTTCTTTTGCGCATGCGGCCGCTTTGAGCGTTCACACTAGAGCGCGTTTGCTGTCACATTTTATTTGTAATGTGATGAAGCAGAGAAAAAAAAATTGGATTTGATCAAAAAATCGGAATTGAGCATCAAGACCTGCAGAGTGAACGTAGCCTTAGGCTCTTGTTCTTGCTCATAACAAACTTCTAGAACATCAACATCTTTAACATCTCCAAAGAACTTTGTGTTCTTGAACATCTTTTCCTTTTTTCCTTTTCTAAGATAATCATTTATTTGTTTTTGTGAAGGTGCTCAGCGATGCCAGACGCACTCGTTTGACTCTCAGACAGTCTGAGACTTGTTATTTCTACTTGTGCTTTACTGGACGAAGTTTTGCACTGGAGTCAACAATGTCAGAGCGCAGTCAGGCCTACGGTCCACTTTACACATCTGTCCTGTCCTTTTTACTTGGTTTAGGTTTTTAGTTTCACCCACAGAGTGTAGGAAAGCTTTCTGCCGCTCAGCAAAGTCTTAAATCCTCCAGAGAGGACGGAGTTTGTGCTGTGGGAAACAGCGAGTCTTTAACCGACTGCCGAGCCCTGAAGGAGACAGAAAACAGACATCTTGTGCAGCTAAGTGGGGCATTTTTCTGACAGCAGCAGACAGTCTGAGCGCCTCTGCAGCTTTCTGTGAGGTTGTCCGACACCACTGAGACAACTTTACAACTTCAACAAGGCTGAGAGCATCTGTGCAGAGACACCGGCCCCATCCTGAACTGTCACTGCTCACATTTGCTTTAATCCTGCATCAGTCCTGCTTCCTGTCTCCGTGCTGTTTATCTCTCCTGCCTGAGAATAAAAACCCTGGAAATGAACAGATTGTGTTTGCTGCGTTATGAAATCAAAACAGCGTTCAGCTTATTTTCAGCTCCAGATAACAATAATAACAGCGGCGCCACAGGCTGCAGAGAGCAGGCTGGCACATATGGAGGTGTGACCGAGGATGAGTTTCATAAGCAGCAGAGAATATGTAAAAGAAATGAAATATTTATCAGATACCTGTTGCCTATGGGTATTAATATGGTTATTTATTTTATTATGGAGTCCCCGTTAAAGGCTGAATAACCAATCTGTCTGGATACATGTGAATGTTGTTTACAGAGGTGTAAAAAATAAGACTTTCCAACACCTGAACTCAGATCTGAGATACAGTAAAGACGTGACATCAAAGCTTTCTCAGACTCACAATG